ATTCTTTTTTTTTTTTAAAGAAGAAAGAGTTACAGCTTTCATAAAACCTCCCAAAGAGGAACCATCGTTATGTATGTGATCATACTAGAGCACGAATATACACGGAGAGAAGAGAAGAGAAGAGAAGAGAAGAGAAGAAAAAGAAAAAGGAAAAAGAGAAAATAAAGAATAAATACTGTGTAATCGTTTACGTTCTTTTCCCTCTCTTTCTTTATATATATATATATATATATATATTTCTCTTTCTTTCTCTCTGATTGTGTGTATAGATTTTTCCCCTTTATTTTTTCTTCTCGCTTTGACAGTTTCTCTATACACGGTAGTAGCGCCCATTATAACGAGTTTGACGCTTTGCTCTGTGGTGCAGCATCCAAGTGACAATCATCCCCACGAATGCAATCGCGGCAACAGAAAAACCAACAGGAAGAACTATCTTCATATACTTCTTAATAGCTCCCGTCACGACTTCTTTACAAGTGGATGTAAACTTATTAATTTTCTTCTGTTCACTTGCCGGGCAAAGAGGACAGGTTGCCATCATGGTATTATCATTCACTTCCACAAAAAACGATGGAAGGATGGTGGCTGTCTTTGCCCCGCCTGAATTCATCCGCACCGTCATTTCCGCTGGTTGTGGTTCTGCCAATAATAATTTCCCAATCGCATCAAAGTACTTCTGCACCCCCCAGCTCTCCCCCACCACCACATTGCAGAGTGTCTTCCACCCAGAGCACTCAAACTCCAACTCAAACGCACACAAATCTTCACTGTTGTGTGTGGCCGCATCATTCCAGCCACTCTCCCAATCCAAGCGGTCCGTTCCCGCGAGTGTGTACACCACAGACACCGTGAGGGCCACAAGAAAGACTACCAGCAAGTAGAGAAAGTACAAAACACGCAGGCAACGATTGCGGGAACAGAGAGCGAGAAAGCCAAGGAGTGAGAAACCGAGAAGTCCACTGAGTCCAGCAATGTAGAAAATAAATACAGTACTACAGGAAGGGCAGAGTTTATGTAAACTGGATTCCACTTCATTACGCTGAATAAGACCAACAGAGAGACCGGCAATGGCGGCAACTGTAAGAAGTAGATTTATTCCCATTAATGTCATGCGAAAAAATGATAGACATGCATGGTCTTTGTTCCTGTTGGCTTCGGCCTCTCTGCGTTGACTCGCAGGAGCGTAGTAGTCATCATAATACGT